GAGTGACGCGGATCAAAAGTGGGAAATGGGCCCCACTTTTCGCTCAAGAGTACTTTTACCGACATAATATTTATTATTCATATAGTTTGTTAATTGCATCTAGGTTTTGTAAGTAAATATTATCTCTCAATTTGACATTTTGAATTGGTAAATATAATTTATTAGCTCAAAATTTTAAATTAACAGTAAAATCTTTTTGTAAGGTATTAAAATTGAAGTAGAGGCAAGGGGGAAGAATGGAGGAGAAACTGCCAACTGCCAAAGTACGTAAAGTCATTGGGACTCAGAGTGAGCAGCGCGTCTAGGGATGGCAATGTGTCGGGTTGGGACGGGTTTTGTCAAACCCAAACCCAAATCCATGGGTTTATCCACCAGAAAAATCCGGGGTAAAACCGGTTGGGTTTGAAAAACTCAAACCCAACCCAACCCGCTGGGTATCCGCGGGTTCATGGGTATCCGTAGGTTTTTGTGGTAAAAATTTACAATAACAAATTTCTTTTAAAATAAAAGTTTAACATCAATTTTCTCATACAAATTAATCATACAAAAAACACCAATCTAGAGCATACAAACAAACCGCAAATGATCAATACAAATTGTGCAAAATTAAAGATAAACATATATAAACAATAAGATTAATTGAAAGCTTCTTCCTCGTCAACTAAGTTTCTTCACTCTCCACTTCATAATATCAACTTCATTCTAAACAATTAGAAAGAACAAATTATATATGTCTCCACAAACATATAGAATATTAGTTGTTTAACGAAGATATATTATTTAGAATATTAAATATACCGGGAAAGTAATTATATGTGTGGGCGGCTACCCATGGGGCGGGTTTACCTAAACCCAAACCCAACTCGACCCGGTAAATAGTGTAGCGGGTTTAAACCCGAACCCGGCCCAAAACCCATCAACACGGGTTTTACCCGCGTTGACCGGGTTGGGTCGGGTGGGTACCCGTGAGTTCGAGTTTTGTTGCCATCCCTAAGCGCGTCCATCCATTTCTCTGGGAATTGATATGATGGCGGCCGGGCGTGTGGAGTTGGAGACTTGGAGTAGTTAACTATCTACCTGAAGAATTGAATTTGGGTGCTTTTGTTTTGTTACCTTTTATTTATTCTTACTACTATCGTTCGTGGCGGTCATTCAGAGTGCCGCCTGCCCTTCACCAATTTGCTGTGTTTCCTCTGCCTCTGCCACAGCCACACCGACCTCCTCCCAAGTTGCCACATAACCGTTCTTTCCTTCCCCTTCACAAATTCAGTCCAACTTCCACGTGTTATCAATTCGTTTAACCTTAATCCAATAAAGGGATGGTTTGGTTTTGGTACTAGTAGTATTAGTATTAGTATATTACGACTACACTACTAAACCTTTCATAGTAATGCCGTTTAATAGATGATCTAGTTCTACTACCGGAGTGGGTGCATTTATCTTTTCACCCAACCAAGCAACCAACCCATGTTCTCGTATAGTAACGCTTGCCACGCACGGGAATCCTCGTTTCTCCCTCCATGCCAACACTCAAAGTTAAAAAAAAACAGTCGAGGATGAGATCCCCTGTCGAGAACCAGTTAGTCCCAATAGCTCGAACGGTTGGGAGAGGTTCAATCATGGATCATATACCATGACAGGCTGATAAAGCCAAACCAGCTTACAGGTAACTGTCGTAATAAGTAGTGTTTAGCCCATAGACTAATCGTTGCCTAATAGTAGAACTGGCATCAAAATCCCCTTGATGAAGCGAGCTATCTCCTATTCTAGTTTGAACTTTGCCAGAAGCACTTTTCTTAGAATGAAGACCGATGAGATGACGCCACATAGCATGAGCAGTTGAAAAACCTTTCAAACGATCAGTGCAATCGAGGGTTTTGCGGACGAGAGAATCCATGTGATCACCTAGGTGTTATTTGCTACCCAATCTTCATTTTCCTTAGCCAAAGCAGTCACCGCCAACTCTAAAAGGGTGCCATCTAGAATTGGTAATAAACGACGACCTTGGACAAATAGTCGAAATCGAAGTTCCTAAAGTTGGAAGTTCTTCATATTAAAACCAAAACTGAAACAACATCTATTTTTGATGGATTCATGTTAGCGAATCCCAACACTAGAAAGCCATGAACACAACAATGTCAACTTGGCAAAATTAAGAAGACCAGAAAAAGAAACAACCTGTACCCTACTAAGCAATCTACTAAAAGTCTAACCACAGGAAGCAAGACGAAACATAATGCAATAAACACAAGAAACTAGCCGAATCAAGCTTGAGATCCGAGAGTAGGCTTTAATACCATGACAAAAATTAACAAAAAGAAAGAAGAACATGAAATTTACATGGTATCTTCAACTATCAACATTAGGACTAATCCACATAGAGAGACAACCTCTCAGAGTTAATTATATTTTCCTTCTGAAATCCATAGGTTACATCATACAACGACTCCCATATATATACAATGCCATAAACCCCCTATCACGAGGGTTACAATGTAATTAACACAAATAGTTGTTAATTACAATTAACTACATAAACTTCTAACAAAACACTTGATATTTTATGAAGTTATTCTCAAACGTGAGTCGACATAATTGAGGCACAAAAGTGGGATGATAAGATCTAATGTATTCTTCTTGTGTGTATGAGAGCATTGCCCATTGTTAAATCTATACAAGTACACAATCATAGCAAATTATGGAAATCAAGTTGCTCACATTACTAAGACTCATCTTTTGGTTGCTATGATATTAGATCTTTGATGATAACACTTTTTGGTTCTACGAATACTACTATTCAACATCCAATAGCAATTAGCAACGAACTTTGTGTGGCGTAAATGATAACAAGATGAGAATGGTGTTGGTGTGTTCCAATCAGTAACTTTCAGTCAAAATTAAATAATGGAATAGAAATAGGGAATTCCTACAATACCTTATTGAAGTTATTGTAACTTGATGTTTTTGACCTGTTATAATAGGTTTCACTAGTTGCATTACGTAAAATACAATAGACATTACGTAATGGTTACGTAGGTATCGTTTGCTTGTGGGATTTGGGTGATGGATTTGGTACCAAAATCCCAAGCATAATGGAATTGGCACAAGTCCATTGTTTGCTAAGGGACACAAATCCGTGGGGCCCACAGATTTGGACCTATTTTTTAGATCCAAATTCGTGAACCCCACGGATTTGCAAATCCCACATTTCATTTGGGATTTGATAATGCAAGGCAAAATGTGAACAAATCCATCATGAATCTATGACAAAAATAAACTACACAAACAATGTACTCTTCCAAATCCATAATTCAACAATTCCATCATAAATCCAAAGGTTTTGAAAACCAAAACCCTCATTTTCAAATCCAATGTAACAAGCAAACGAGCCCGTAATGTGTGTTTATCTTACGTAATAGTTGAAAAATGTCATTACAGAAACCTTACGTAATAGACACTCATTTTACGTAATGAATATTAACCTTTCGTTACGTAATCTGTTAAATCATTACGGAAGACTTACGTAACGCTTCTAATTTAACTGTTACGTAAGAAATAACTATCGTTACGTAACCTTTACGTAATAGATGCATACTTTATGTAACAGTTGTAAAGTGTCATTACGGAAGCCTTACGTAATGGATGATCCTTTTACGCAATAAATATTAATCAAGTTACGTAATTTGGTAAGTCATTACGGAAGTCTTACGTAACACTTCTAATTTAACTGTTACGTACAAAATAACCTTCGTTATGTAATCTTTACGTAATGAGTATGTATTTTATGTAACTGTTGTAAATGTCACTACTGAAGCCTTACGTAATGGATGGTCCTTTTACGCAATGAATATTAATCAAGATACGTAATGTGGTAAGTCATTACGGAAGTCTTACGTAACGCTTCTAATTTAACTGTTACGTACAAAATAACCTTCGTTACGTAATCTTTACGTAATGAGTGTGTATTTTATGTAACCGTTGAAAAAATGTCATTACGGAAGCCTTGCGTAATAGACCATGCTTTTACGTAATGAATATTTACCTAGCGTTACGTAAACTGATAAGGCGTTACGGAAACCTACCGTAACGCTTATAGTTTAACTGTTACGTAAGACAACAAGCATTACGTAATTGTTACGTAATAAACATTAGTTTTACGTAATGCGACCTATAAAACCTGCTATAGCTAGGGATGGCAATGGGTCGGGTTGGGGCGGGTTTTGTCAAACCCAAACCCAAACCCTTGGGTTTATCCGTCAAAAAAACCCGGGATAAGACCCGTTGGGTTTGAAAAACTCAAACCCAACCCAACCCGCTGGGTATCCGCGGGTTCATGGGTACCCGTGGGTTTTTGTGGTAAAAAATTTACAATAACAAGTTTCTTTCAAAATAAAAGTTTAACATCAATTTTCTCATACAAATTAATCATACAAAAAAATATCAATCTAGAGCATACAAGCAAACCGCAAATGATCAATACAAATTGTTCAAAATTAAAGATAAACATCTATAAACAAAAGATTAATTGAAAGCTTCTTTCTCGTCAACTAAGTTTCTTCACTCTCCACTTCATAATATCAACTTCATTCTAAACAATTAGAAAAAACAAATTATACATGTCTCCACAAATATAAAGAATATTAATTGTTAGGAAAATATATTATTTAGAATATTAAATATAACGGTAAAGTAATTATATGTGTGTGGGCGGGTACCCATGGGTCGGGTTTACCTAAACCCAAACCGACCCAGTGAATAGTGTAGCGGGTTTAAACCCGAACCCGGCCCAAAATCCGTCAACATGGATTTTACCCGCGTTGACCGGGTTGGGTCGGGTGGGTACCCGTGGGTTCGGGTTTTGTTGCCATCCCTAGTATGATAGGATAGGAGGTCCATAGATAATTTTTTTTTTTTTTTAAGGAGTAAAACAAAATCACAATGTAAAATTGTAAAGTACCTTTCCAATATATACAATAATAATGAATTACTCTATCCAAAACCTTAGAATTAGCTGTCTCTCTCTCTCTAATTATCTGCTAACCCCGCCCGCTAATTTGAACACGTTCCTCCGTCATCCTTTTCCCTTTCCCCTCCTTTTTAAAACTGTTCACTGTTCGATTCTTTGCTTAGCTTCCACATTCCATAAACCCCGCCGATTCCTCCTCCTTCCTCTTTCTTCTCCCCCAATTCCCATCTCCTCCCCACAGCAGCTAGTTGGTCGCCTTTCCTAATCGACATTCCTAACTTCACTCTGTTTCACTGCCAGAAAGAATTATTTCTTCTTCTTCTTCTTCTTCTTCTCTCTGATCCAACTCCTTTACCAATCACTTCTCTCCGTGAGCTTTCAATGCCAAAAAAAGGTTACGAACAATAAGGAGAAACCCATTCTCTTCTTCTTCCCTGGGTTTCTGGGTTTTGGTTTCTTAAGAAGCCAGAAACCAGGAAAAAATGGTGGGTACGGCTGCCGGTTCTTCAGCTGCTCCTATTATCTCTCCTGTATATGGGTTTCCTTCAGATTTTCCCGGGGATTTCGTTTCAGATCAAACAAGCCACCGCCCAACAACAACAACCGTCGCTTAATTTCCCCTCCTTCTTGTAGTTCCCTTCCCCTGTTTTTAATGGCTTTTCCTTATTCTTTGTCCTCCTCTCAACGCAAATCATGTCTACTGTTCATAAACCTCTCCTTCCTATTAGTAATCGCAGCCGTTTCCTTTACAACCCACTTCAAGTCCAACCCACCACCAAAATCCCTCGCCGGCATCAACGCTCTGCAACAACCCACCTCCGCCGCCGACCACCAGCTAGACTGCAACGAATTCCAGAGTCTCCCTTCCCCAAATTCCAAGTGCATCGCCCTCAAATCCAGAAACCCATGCGTCTCCCAAGGCTACATCGACTACCTCCGCATATTCTACTGCAACTTCGGCGAATTGCCCCTTTTAGGTCACACCCTGCTCCTCCTCTGGCTCCTAGTCCTCTTCTACCTCCTCGGCAACACCGCCTCCGACTACTTCTGCTCGTCGCTCGAGGACCTCTCCCGCTTGCTCAAGCTCTCCCCAACAATCGCCGGCGTCACTCTCCTCTCCCTCGGGAACGGCGCCCCGGACGTCTTCGCCAGCATCGTCTCCCTGGCCGGATCTGGTACTCGCGACATCGGGTTCAACACCATGGTAGGTGGGGCTTCTTTCGTTACCTGTGTCGTCGTCGGGACAATTAGCTTTTTGGTGAAGCACAGGCGGATTCGAGTCTCCCGCGGCGCATTCATCAGAGACGTTTGTTTCTTCACCCTGGTTCTCGGCTCTCTGATCATGACCTTGCTTTTGGGGAAAATCAACCTCTGGGGAGCAATTGGGTTCTCGCTGATGTACGTTGTCTATGTGATTATCGTCTACATCTCGTACTTGTACTGGAGCAACGGGATTAAAGATCCCGGTGGAGTGATTCTCTGCGGCGGTTGTGGGAGTGATACGCCTAGCTCCAGCTGCGAGAGCGGGTTGAGCATACCTATATTGATGAAGAAGGAGAGGGATGATGACGTGGAGGAAGCACAGCCGCAAGAACAAGAAGAAGAACGAGAGGGAACCGATGGTCGGACCGAGTTGAGAAGGTTCTGGTTCAACCTGAGGGACTCGGCCCCTTTTCGATTGATGATCAGCATTGTCGAGATGCCGCTCTACTTGACTCGCAGGCTGACGATCCCGGTTGTTTGCGAACGAAGATGGTCGAAACCAATGGCGATCGCGTCGGTAATCCTAGCCCCGATCCTGCTATCCACGCTCTGGGTGGCTCAGTACGAGAATCCCCGGTTCGAAACATGTGTTCTGGTTTACGGGGTTGGGTCGCTGATTGGAATCGGTCTAGGGCTGTTGGCCTTTCTGACAACCGAAGAATCGAGCCCGCCGGAGAAATGCTTGCTGCCCTGGCTAGCAGGAGGGTTCCTAATGAGCGTGACGTGGAGCTACATCACGGCTCAGGAGCTGGTCGCGTTGCTGGTCTCTCTGGGTTACGTGTTCGGGATCAGCCCTTCGATCTTGGGGCTGACCGTCCTGGCGTGGGGGAACTCGCTGTCCGATCTCATAACCAACTCGACCATGGCGATTAACGGTGGGGCGGAAGGCGTGCAGGTGGCGATTTCAGGGTGCTACGCGGGGCCGATCTTCAACGTCCTGTTCGGGCTTGGGTTGTCGCTGATCGGTTCGTGCTGGGAGTCGTACCCGGAACCGGTTTTGATATCGTTGGACCCGTACCTCCTCGAGACGTTGGGGTTTCTGCTGGCCGGTTTGGTTTGGGGACTCGTGGTTCTGCCCAGGAGAGGGATGAAGCTGGATGGGGTTCTGGGTGGAGGTTTGTTGGTTATATATCTGCTGTCTGTGTCGTTGAGGCTGGTTCAAACTTCTGGGTCGCTCCAATTCCTTGACCATAATAGCCTGTAAGTTTGTATGTAAACAGCATAGATGAGTGATATTTTTTGACTGTTGTGTAGGAAGTCATTAATTGAGCAACTTGCTGGGGTTGCATAGAACTATAAATGACATATATGTAATGTAAATGGTGGTAATGGTAAAACTGTAAAGAATGGAGTAGGTAATGGTAATTTAGATTCTAGATCTTTGCTCGTGTTTGTTTTTTCCCGATTGGTGCGATTAATTGCAATTTGCAGCAGCAAAGGGAAAATTTCATGGGCCGATGGTTTCCTTTCCTAAGATGAATTACTCATACATCGCCGTCACTCTATCTCTATTGAAATTAGGAGCTTTAAACTTTTATATTATACATGTTAATCTAACACTACTTGATAAGATGTAAGATTACCGATTTCAATTTTGGTGAGAGTACATTTGTGTGTGAAAAGAACAAAAGGGTAATTGTGTTTAGTTAAAAGCGAGATTTAAATACATCACGTAAGGATGGATTAATCTCAAATTGGTAAATATTGGCCCACAAAAGTTCAGCCAGTCCTTGGAAGAAATATTTCCTTTATTAAAAAGCAACCAAGGGCCTAGAACACTTTGAGTGTACTTTTGAGTTTTGTCGGCGTAGAAAGTGATAGAAAGTAAAAAATGCGGATTTTGAAAAATCTCAAAACACCCACATTATTAATTTGTTTTAAAATACATACGTTATAAAAGATTTTCTCAATCAACACATGACTGGACTCCACTGTGGCCGTCAAACGTAGTGAATAATATCATTGCGACCGACAATCGCGGTGAATGCTTCACCGCAGCCATCGAAAGCGGTGAACGCCTAACATATGCCAAAACTTCGAACGAACGTAACTTTACGCTCGGTTATCCGATTGTAGCAATTTTTTTTTTGATTCCACATAATTATTTGAGATCTTTAAATCCTGAAACAGCCAGAGGCAATTTGGTCCAGTCTTCACGTCGTTTGCTATCCCAAACGAGCAATTTTTAGATTTCGCCAAATTCGGAAGGTCATAGTTTTGTGCTCTGCAACCCAAACGTCACAAATAATTTTATTTTATTTTGCATAACTTTTCAAGAACTACAACTTTTAATAGGAAGAAATTTTTAAAATATGAATTTTTTTTAGATATAAGAGGTTTTTGGAATAACTTTTGCTTTACTTTTCACAAATTCACATACATTCCGAAAATATGTCCATGATAAAATTTGTAGTATTGAAAAATTTATGCGAAATAAATAAATTTATAATGTTCGGATTTTGGAGCACAAAGTTATGGCGGTCCAAAGTTTGGTGAAATCTAAAAATTGCTCGTTTGTGATAGAAAACGATTTTTTTTTGGACGAAGGCTGGACCAAATGACCTTTAGTTGTTTGCGACTTGAAAGATCTCAAAAAATTATGCAGAATCTTTTTTTGTTGTTGCTACAATCGGATAACCGAACACAAAGTTACATCCGTTCGAAGTTTTGGCATAGGTAAGGCGTTCACCGCTTTCAACGGCCACGGTGAACCATTCACCGTGATTGTCCTCCGCGATGGTGTTATTCACCTCGTTTGACGGCCACGGTGAAGCCCAAACATGTGTAGATTGGGAATAGTTTCATAAAATGTGTGTATTTTGGGATTGGTTTTATAAGAACGTATGTACTTTGAGAATTTTTCCCGATTTTAACGGGTGCTCATAGTGTAGGATAGTGATATATGAGAGGTATATAACGCAACCAGAGCCCACTAGAGCAAAGAGGCTCTTTCGATTTGATCTTCGCTGGTCTTCCAACTAGTAGCAAGATTCTTAATCAGACTCTTTTGGGGGCTGCATGTTGACAGTTCATATCAATTCTATATATTTTCTAAGCTCCTTCGAATTCGTCATGGACTTGTTGACTGGTGTAGAGGTGGTACATCATATTCGGTTCGAAATATAAAAGATCTAAACATTGCCCTTGATATTGCGCGAAATTTTCAAGTGGTCTACTAGGCCCTAATCCGAGAACTCGAGGCCAGGCTAGGAGTACAATATGCTCGAGAGGAAATGTACTGGCGCCAAAAATCCAAAACCAATTGGTTAAGGGAAGGTGATAAGAATATTGGGTATTTCTATCGCATCACTTCTATAAGATGACAAAAAAAAAATTTATCTGAGGTTTGGAGGATGATGCGGGAAGGTGGTGCACGACTGATATGGAAAAATGCCCCATCGCGGTCAACTACTATAAGGCCTTGTTCCAGAGCCACAGTATGGAAGGGATTAGCTTGTCTGACCTGCTTCTTACGGGTATGATCAATTGTCCTAGTTACGCTTGATGAGATTAGATAGGTGGTCTTTAATATGGGAAAAACTCAAGTGCCAAGGCCGGATGCTTTCCCAGCCGGATTCTTCCAAGCATATTGGGACATAGTTGGTTCGGATGTCATTCAAGTAGTGCTAGCATTCTTTCACACTGGACACCTGTTGAGAAGTTTTAATCGCGCTTGGATCTCCCTTGTTCCAAAAGTTGTTGAAGTTCGGACCATGAAGAACTTACGTCCTATTAGCCTGTGTCAAGTCTTTTACAAAATCATCTAAGAACTTTTTGACTAATAGGCTAAGTCTGGTCCTCCCCCATGTTATCTCTGGGTCCCAAAATGGTTTCATCAAAGGGCGCTAGATTACTGATAATATCCTTGTCAGTCATTAGGTGGCACATCATTTGAAAATCATGTATTCGGGGCAAAAGACGTGGATGACCTTAAAATTGGATAAAGAGAAATAACCCAAGTGAGTTATTTCAACCAACTAGAGGTCTTCGAAAAGAGATCCGCTCTTCCCTCTTCTTTTTCCAATAAGTTCAGAAGGTTTTTCTGGCTTAAGAAGTCAGACGGTGGCTATGGGGTTCTTGGAAGGTGTGTGAATCCGACCCTCATGCCTGATGACCTCCCATCTCTTTTTTGCGGATAATTCCTTTTTGTTCCTTGAAGCCTCTTCTGCCTCATGTACAACGTTACTCTACCTTCTACAAGTGCATGAAGAGCTAAGTGGTCAACACATTAATCTAGCTAAGTCTGCCGTACTGTTCAGTCGCAATACCTCCTCTGAAGCAGCAATCTCATTGGGTATGCAACTTAGGGGTGGGCAACGGAAAACAGGAATTTGGGTATACCCGTACCTGTCCCATTTTTTAAGGGTTACGGGTACCCAAATACCCGTAATATTTATTATGGGATGGGACTTGGGATTAAGAATTTCAATATTGGGTACCGCGGGTTATCTGCTAATACCCGTTTGGGTTATACGGGTACCCGTAATACCCATTACGATTTATTTCCTAAACAAATACATTATCAATACATATAATCAATTACAAATAAGTTTAATATACTTTCAATAATAATGTATTGTTATGGCTCTGATGCTTCAACAACAGTTTCAGTAGGCAACCATCTATATGTTGCCGTTGCCATCGTGGGGATTCAAGAACTGGGGTATCCAAGGCTTGAAAAGGTACCAATTTGCTACTGTTGTTTGTTTGTTTCTCTTCTCCATCAAGCTGCAGCTTGTCTTGAAAGATATTTGTGTTAGTCCATAGACATGGTACCGGTTCTAAAGAAATACTTAAATACCTTGACAAATTTAGCATCAAACTCTTGACCATATTAAATGAAAAAGAGTGAAATTCTCAAGTTCAATCCACCTTAACGTGGCACGGCTATTCAGATCATCATCTTAAACTACCAAGCTTCAAATTGTTCCTTGTTCATCAGTATGCTAACTGCAGTTCTATTGTTGTTTACAAAAAAAAAAAAACCCCGAAGAAAAACCCAAATAATTAAAATTATCTAAATTTACGGGTTACCCGCGGGTACCCATTATCCGTCCCGTACGAGTAATGGGTACCCGTTTACCCATACGGGTTTGGGACATGGGATGGACTTTGGTCTCCAAACGGGACGGGACACCCGTCCCGTCCCGTTGCCCACCCCTAACGCAACTAGGGGTTGATAGTATTGGCGAACAAGATGCCTATCTTGGGATCCCTTTCATCATATCCTGGTCAAAGAGAGACACGTTCCTATACATGGAAGAGAAGCTAGGGCAGAAGCTTGACGGTTGGAAACATAGATGCTTGTCAAAATTTGCCAAGGATACACTAATAAGATCAGCGACAACTAATCTTCCTGTCCATGGTATGTCATGCTTTAAATTTCCCAGGGAGACATGTAGATGTTTGAATGGCCATATAACCAGATTCTGGTGGAGATCCTCTAGTAACTTAGGTCATCCCATTCATTGGGTCTCGTGGAAAGGAATTTCACAAAGTAAGTTACATAGTGGAATGAGATTTAGGGACTTTCAGGCCTTCAATCAAGCTTTGTTGGCAAAACAATGTTGGCGCATCTGGGCCAAACCGAACTCCTTACTTAGTCAAATCTATAAAGGCCGGTACTTCAACTCTCTTTCAATCATCGAAGCCTAGCTAGGGTCAATCCGTCTTGGGGCTGGCGTAGCCTCCTTTATGGCAGAGACCTACTCCTCCAAGGCTCATGTTGGCAGGTGAGTGATGGTCACACCATTGGCGTCTTCTGTGATAACTGGATCCTAGCGATTAAACCAGAAAGTCCGGTGATCCGGTTGGGCAATATTAATTCTTCCCAGTGTGTCTCCTTTTTTTTATTAGAGAGGGTACAAGGAATGCATGTACCGCGACTTCAGTATTGTTTTGATCCGCAATCTGTTGAGTCTATTTTCAAGATGGCCATGCCTCGGGCTGCCCAACCAGTCACCAGAGTCCGACATTTACAAAAAGTGGCCAGTATTCAGTTAAAACAGGGTGCCACTTGGCATTAGAAGGAATTCTGGCGCCAATGAGAAAATCACTAGCCCAAATTATTCATCCCCCACTATGGAAGAAGACTTGGGTCATCCAGACTCCTCCAAAGTTGTGATTATTCATCTGACAATGTCTTATAGTGTTCCTATGACAACAGTGGCACTAAGGTCCAGGGAGTTAATTCTCCTGTTTGTTGGAGGTTCCGAGAAAGTTTATAGCACTTGTTCTTTAATTTTCCATTGCCATCCAACTAGTGTCTTTTGTGGGATTAGACGATGTACGTTCTTCGACCCCGATTATAAATTTCAGTATGTGGTGCCGTCAAGTTATGCTAGACAAGCAGCCCCAAACCCATATTCTCAAGGTAGTGTGCCTCTTATGAAAAATATGGAAATCTAGAAATAAAGTGGCATTTGAGAATACACAACCTCGGGTTTTTTCGCTTGCTCGCCAGTACTCTTTCCAGCTCCATGAAGTGCTCTCATACTCGTCTTCTACCCCGTCTCCCCCTCCCTGTGTGCCGACTGCTGTTTCCCCTTGCTGGCTACCCCCGCCTCTCTACCATTTGAAGATCAAATTCGATGCAGTCGTTCATAAGCACAATATATAGTAAATTTTTGAAAATTTTAACCCG